TGATTCCTGGGCTAGTTTTCAGCGTCCATGTGGCATAATAACAGTTCTCTCCCACACTACAGTCCAAGTATATTTATGTTTCTTTCCAAGTTTCTCACTGAGAGATGTAACCATTCAGTGCACCAATTGCATTTTCCCAAGTGTCTCTGCAGGAAACCAAGTCAATTTTCAAAGAAATCCCATTACTTTTCAACAGCATCTCAGAGGTGCTGCTGCTTCTCATGATAAGCCTATGAAGTCTGACAGCATTTCATAAATTAATGTGCATCCCACGCCTCCAGCAACTGCTTTGACACTCTGCTCAAATTAAGCCAAGCAGTAGCATCACTCCTAGAACAGTAATGATGGTGACAAAGGCTTCGAACTTACCATCTACTTCGGCAGATTTGCAATGATTCACCCAATGCAATATTCATTGCTATTGATACAAGACATCTTTCTATTCAAATGAAACTAACTTCTCTCTGAATGTCAAAATGCATACTATGTAAAGAAGCAGAGCTAGTTCTGAAATAAAATCATTATAATTATTCCAGAGCTTTCTTGTAATTACTTATTTAATTACTGGGACAACAAATATATAAGCAGTCTAAAAGTGTGGAGCAAACATGTTCCTGCCAGGTGTTTTGTGAGGTGTTAGAGATACAAAGGTATGAGGTGTTGTGTAGGCCTTTCACCTGAGTTGAGCCTTGTTTAGATCTGTTGTCCCCTTGCCTGCAAACAGGTGTTTAAACAGATCACAGAGTCTTAGGATCGTAAACAAGGTTAGGCATTATCATAGTTGATACCTTTTAATAAATAACTTGGATTATTTCTAAATATTTGTTATGAATTTGGACAATAGAAGAATGTAAAGAACAAAATTTTGAATTCCCCAATCTACCAGCCAAAGTTTATAACTATTTCAATTAATTCCTTTGAAGCTTTTTTTCCCCCTATGTGGCTTTATTCATAGGCATATGTATATTACATATATATATATATGTGTGTGTGTGTGTTTGTGCATATACACGTGTGTGTGCTTATGTTGTTGTTGTGAAGTGCTGTCTAGTCAGTTCCAACCTATAGAGACCCTGTGTGAAGTGCTGTCTATTTATTTCCAACTCATAGCAACTCAAGGAGTGGCTGGTGTGTTAGAACCTTGTGGTTTATCCCACAGCACCACACTAGGACTCCATGTGCCTATATGTGTGTGTGTACATATATGTATAAATGTATATATATATATGTTATTGTTGTTAATAGCCGTCGAGTCAATTCCAACCCATAGCGACCCTGTATAGGGTTTCCAAGGAACAGCTGATGAACTTGAACTGACTACCTTGCATTTCAAATGGCTTTGCAGTCTGGTGCATTAACACACAGCACCACATACATATATTTATTATATGGAGTTGACATGATGGTATGTATTTTTCAATCATTAGAACCTCTTAAGGCATATTTAAGGCATATTTAACACTTTGAATAACTTTTGGATTTTTTTTTTTTTTTTGCAAGAATAGCAAATACTTATTTTTCAACCATTCCTTGCTTTTGGACATTTTGATTGCTTACCATTTTAAATAAATAAATGTTTGATGTCTCTGTCTTTGAGATTATAACTCTTTTCCTGCCGTACTAAATGACCAAAACTTTCAGAATAGTTTTAAATAACAACAATGATATTGGCTACCCATAGTTTGTTTCTGATTTTTAAGGAAATAACTGTGTTTTTGTTAAGTAGGATTGTATCTGCTGATGTGAGAGGATTAAAAATCTTATTAAGTTCCCCGAGTTCTAGTTTTTAGGTGTCAACAGTGAGGAATTGAACATTACCAAATGTCTTTTCATGCTGTTGATATAATTAGGTCTATTCCAATTTGGACCACAGATGTGACATAGTAATGGATTTCTTAATATTAACCTCCCCTCCCCTGGAATGAATACTACTGTATCCTAGGATGATATTCTTTTAATGAATTGTCACATTCAAATCTCTGATACTGATTTTAGGATTTGTCTTCATTTTCTTATGCTGCTATAAGAAATAGCACAAATGGATGGTTTTAACAAACAGAAATGTATTTGCTCACAGTTTGGGAGGTTAGCATTTCTAATTTGGAGTGCCAGCTCTGGAGAAAGAAAGGTCCTGTCTTCTTCCAGCATCTGTAGGCCCAGCATTCCTTGGAGATCTCCATGCTCAGCATCAGTCTCTCTTTGGATCCAGGAGCTTCCCAATGCAGGGACCCCAGGCCCATAGGATGCTCTCCACTCCCACCTCTTCTTTCTTGGTGCTAATAGTTCCCTCTTTCTCAGCTTGCTTCTGTCTCCTTTTATATCTCAAATTAGGTTGACCCAAAATACAGCCTAATCCTATACACTGCATTAACATAGAAGTAGGATTTACAACACATAGGATAATTAGATCTCAGGTCAGATCTCATCATGGGGATTTATTGTTGTTAAGTTGGTTCTGACTCATAGCAACCCTATATAGGGTTTCCAAGGAGCAACTGGCAAGTTTGAACTGCTGACCTTGCCATACAGTGCTTATCCCACATGGGGGATTACTACCTCTTAACTGCCAGACCACTGGCGTATGTTACATGTGTTTATTTTTTACAATAAACATATGTGAAAATCCTGTGATAGTTACGGTTTTGATGACTTAACTATCACAGGATTTTTATATATGTTTATTGCATATTGTGATGTAAAGACAACTAGTGTGTCAGGGTTAAAGACAAAGTCTGTTAGTCTCATTCTAGTATATAAATAGGGATTGCTGAAATTAGGGTGAAAAAAACAACCTGCTCTCTTGTCATTTGTTCATTCTCCTTTTTTCTTTTTCTTTGCTTCATATCCCATCTGCAAAGTTTTCCATTTGTGAATTCACAAAATACTTTTAACCTCTCTCAAATCTCTCTCATCACACTCTTCTATTAAAGTTTTTTCTATACTTGTCATCCATCCTTGTATGAGTGGTCTGAGTTTTAAATCTAAGAGTGTTTTACCCCTCCTCAGTCTGTAAGTTTTGTCCTAACCTAACCTCTCCTATGGAGTCCTGGTTGGCGCTGTGAGTTAATGCATCAGACTGCAAAATTGTTTGAAATGCACAAGGTCAATGGTTCAAGCTCACCAGTTGTTCCTTGGAAACTCTGTACAGGGTTGCTATGGGTCAGAACTGACACAACACCCCTAACAACAACAACAACCACCACCTCTCCTATATAGTAACATTGGTGCCAGCAAAGCACTGCACAGTGGCAGATGGTAGAAATGTACTTCAATGAGTTTGGATATCCAAAGCACGTCCAGCAGTAAGCTGAGGAGCAGGAAGTAAGAGCAACTCTAAAGGTATCTGAGTACCATGTGAGCTTCTCTGTGGCAGCCACCTTCCAAGAACTGTAGGAAGACACAGACAGGACCAAGAGAAAGCTCTAGGAACCAGCCCTCTTGGGCCTGCTCCAAATAGCTGCTCCTTTCTGGTCCTTATAGTAGATTATAACAAAAACCAATTACGTCAATTACTTTTGCTTCCTAAAGTGTACTCTCTTAAAGCTAAATAAATTCATTATATTCTGACATATATTTTTTAATTCTTTCAATTGTCAATTCTTTCCAAAGGGAAGCCTAACGAAATTAAGGAGCTTGTGCAATCTGCTTCCAGTCAATAAATCCGATGAATTAGTGCTACCCTGTAACATATGGGGTCACCAAAATTGGGGGCATCTCAGTGGCAGCTAAAAGCAACAAATGGCTCCACTATTAGAGTAAAAGTCGCTTGAAGACAGGGATCCGATCTTAAGTGTATTCTGGCTCCCACTGTGTTTTGCACTGTGCTAGGTATATAATTTATGAGCTCTGGTAGCGTAGTGGTTACGAATCAGACTGTGAACCACAAGGTCAGCAGTTCAAAACTACCAGCTGTTCTGTGGGAGAAAGATGAGGCTTTCTGCTCCTGTAAAGATTTACAGCCTCGGAAACCCTGTACAGGGTCGCTATGAGTTGGAACCAACTCCATGGCACACAACAACAACAACAGATATATGATTTATACTTAACTAACTGGACTTAATCTTTTTTTTTTTTAACTTTTCAGTGTAATGTCTTCCACTTCTTTAAAGTCCAAAAGCAATTTCATAGACCAGGCCTATTAGCAAATAGCTAGAGGTAGGATCACAACCCAAAATAGTAATGAAAATTAAAGGGAGAAATGACAACAGTGAAGGAGGGAACATACCTACGCTGACAGAAACCAAATAAACCTCACACCAGTGGGAGAAATGCATTTTCTAAGTAATTGGCCAGCTTTCAGACCATCCTTGAAAGAGAGGGTAACCTGTTGCCATTGACAGTCGATTCCAATGAATCAGCCCCTGTGGGACCTAGTAGAACTACCCAATAGAGTTCTAAAGGTTAAAATCTGCTACCACCCGCATTTTTCCTGAGGAGGAACTTGTGGATTTGAAACTCCAACCTTTCAGCTAGCAGCCAAGTCATTAATACTGGACCTCCAAGGCTTCTTGAGGGAGAGCGTAGTGGTGGTTATGTGTCGTGGAGTCGCTTCCTACTCATAGTGACCCTGTACAGGGTTTCTGAGTCTATAAATCTTTGTTGTAAATCTTTGTTGTTGTTGTTAAGTGCCGTCGAGTCGGTTGAGACCCATTGTGACCCTGATTAGGGTTTCCGAGGCTATAAATCTCTACAGGAGCAGAAAGCCTCATCTTTCTCCTGTGGAGCAGCTGGTAGTTTTGAACTTCTGATCTTGCAGTTCACAACCCGATTCGTAACCACTACGCTACCAGAGCACCTTTATCGGAGCAGAAAGCCTCATCTCTCTCCTGAGGAACAGCTGGTAGTTTCAAACTGCTGACCTTGAGATTAGCAGCCCGACCCTACATTACCAGAGCTCCTTGAGGGAGAGAGTGCCTAGAGGATATTTACTAACCTGATGCTTCTTGCAGCAACTAGAATTTGAAATGTGGTGTCAGTAATTACTTTCTTTTCTTCCTCAGGATGTTAAATAGTACATTCTTTGAAAGTTGGGAGATTGTTGGACCTTTCCCTTCCTGGTGGGTTTTTAACATGATGCTGTTGCTAATACAAGGCATGAGCTGCTTCTGGTCTTACGTGATCATAAAAATAGCATGCAAAGCTATTTCAAAAGGCAAGGTAAGATAAAATGCACCCTTTCCAATAGCTTGTGGGACAATCTTGGTTTGGGTTCTTCTGAATCAGTAAGAACATAATTGATTATTTCAAACATCATAAAAACTATTATTTTTTTCAAAATGTAATATAATCTTGACATAAATCAATTCTCATTTTCTTCTATTCAGTTCATTTTCTTAAAGTCTTTAGCATTGTTTTGCTGATTCCCAATTATCTGCATTTATGATGTTTTATTTAATGAGGATATGTTGTTTATGTGGTGTCTTCTCGCTTGTCTGCCTTAGACCTCTGTTTAGACTTATATGGACAGAAATGCAATGTTTTCCTACCCTTTATGAGAAAGATTGTTTGGTACGGTATGCCCATGTAAATAATCCTTTTTCTGAAACTGGAAAATGATTTTTCCAATAAAAAATTGTGAAGTCTCTTTGGTTAAGGTGGGCTCATGGGCTGATTCAAGTAAAGCTTCCCAAGCTCAGCCCCTCTGTATACAGCAGTGGTTTCTGTAGGTCGATCTCTGGCTTGATATTTTCTTACTTTCTTTGTTCCTTCTGCCACCCTGGAAGGCTGGGAAGTGGAACCCTTTACATGTAAGTTCTTCCCACTCTCTCCATCTCTGTCCTGGGTGCTCCTTAACCTGTTATAGGGGCTCTCTGGTTGCTTCTGTCTCCATGCATAGCGTTCTCTCTATCTGTTGGCACTGAGCTCTTACTAAGGAATGATTCCCACCAGATTCCCACTAGAAACAGCTTTGCTAGTGTTCATTTGTGTGAGCTTGCATTCTGTTAACTTTTGCATGCTCTAACAGCGAAAGAGGGGAGTTTCTTTCATTGGTGTTTAACATTTGGGCTAAGGGCCCAAAATAGGACAAAGTAAAGTAGGAGAAACAGAACTACGTTTGAGAGAGGGCTATTGTGGTCCTGTCAATGAATGGAGGCCTGGGCATCCACCATCTGTTTACCTGAGCTGCCCTGGGCCACAGCGAGGTCCCTTCCACAGGTGGACTTTTAGTCATAGTCTGTGAAGCCAGTTCTCAGCATCTGCTCCTGTACAAATCCAAACTGTTTTAATCAATGTATTGTTTTAAATTTAAGCTTTATTTTTCTGTGATTCTTACCTTTTAACATGAACACATATTTATATTTAAATTTTTTCTTGTTTTCATTTGGATTCAAATTAAATTAATTAATATGATATCATATTGCTACCGTCAATATGATATGGTGTCAACACTGAGGACACAAGGATGCTGTAGATTACGTTTCTTGGGTCCCTATTAAATTGCTGTTTCCACCAGACGTCTTATCTCCTTTTCACTTTATTCCTTCAGTTACAAAAAAATGATCATTCATTTTGTTCCTGCCATTGATATTCATATAGGACACTGAGATTCATGTTGGGCATGGATTATGAACTCAGTTTTCCTATAAGTTATTGTGAGATATTCTAACTTGTTCTTTTCTATGAACGTACGATGCAAGATACAGATTTTTCCCAGTGCAAATTTAAATAATCTTACTAAGCATGTAAACGTAAATTAATCACTCTGAAACTAGAGTTTCATACTAGCAGCTTAGTTTATGACTAATGAACTTCTAAATAAGATGGAACTGAACTCTAATACTTTGTTGGCCCATCTTTTTTTAGTTAACCACCCCCATCCCCACCAAAAAAATACAGCCAAAACCACTGCCACAGAGTCAATTCCAACTCTCCTCCTCCTAGTGATCCTATAGAACAGAGTAGGACTGCTCCATAAGGTTTCCAAAGCTGTAACTCCACAGAAGCAGACTGCCTCATCTTTCTCCCAAGGAACAGCTGGTGGGTTCAAACCACAGGTCTTTTGCTTAACCCACTGCACTACTAGGGCTCCTTATCTTGAGTTAAAGTGTCATATACTTTAGTTATTTTGGTGTTTAAGAGCTAAGCCTTCTTAGATGTGGCCCATAGGAGTTCAGTCACATCTCAAGAGGCACTGTGGTTTACTTCATTGTTGCGTATGTACTTCATCTCTGGTAGGAATAGAGCAGTCTTTCTGTTTTTACTTCTCCCTGTCCTAGGCCACCTGAGACAGATGCGTTTCTCCTGCAGTAACTGCAGCTTTTCATGTTGGCAAGAGTAGATTCCAGGCTTCTTAAGTTGAGGGTGATGGTGGCACTGATAGGGTATGATGTGGAAAAGTCTCCAGTTAATTTGGATGTCTCTCAGAAGACTCTGTCAACCTTCCTAGCCCATCCCTTAGAGACTCAGACACCTAGATTTGGAAGATTTATATAAAACCAGGTCACTAGGCCCTGTTATCACCCCATTTAGAAAATGAGCAAATGGTGCTCAGTTACTTTAAGGATGTTAAAGTATGGGCTAAAATGCTTGCCATAATTTGACTTGGAAAGTGGGAATTTCAAACTGTTAAGGCAGTAGAGAAACTAACATTTCTTTAATTTCTTCCTAAATGACTTTCTCGCTAGACAGTGGGGTTTTGAGTACTTCTGTCTCTATGCCAGTGTATGGCTCCTTATCTGGCTTTCTTGATCATTTTAATGAGATTGGATGTAAGATGAAAGAAGCCTGGAATTGGATGGACACCAATTCACAATGTTCCAGTTGGTAGATTTTTCTTGGAAATATTTTAAGCTTGACCTCACACAGCGGGTTCCCAAAATACCTCCTACTGCCATTAGTTATGTGACATGTAGATCCAAATTCTACTTAATTTTAGCCGACAGCAAAGAAAAACCAATGATAGAGCAATGCATTAGAAAGTGAAATAGTCATTTTTTGAATGCTCTAAGATGGTGATTCTTTTCATATGTATGATTAATTGGCTTTAAAAGATTTCAAAGGAAGCTATGATCATCAGAGAGTAAATGAATCCATTTGTAATCTTATAATTTGTAATCATATAAAAAGCCATATAATGGTTTTCCTGCAGTACAGTATGCCACTTTTCAGGCAAGAGTATGAGGCCTGTTCTATCTAACACATTCTTAATATGGAAAGGTACTTTCAAGATGTCAGCAGGTCCAACCCTCTATGATGCCTAAATCAGCCTGAAACCCTCGATAATTACTTCTCTCCAGTGAAGAGGAACTTGTTTATACGGCACTTTTCTTATCTTCTTCTGCTTTGATTTCTTAAACGTTTAGATCTGTTTACCTTCATGTATCATTGCATGTGCTTCTGAGCATGCCATTATTTGACAGTGCATTAGGAGCTAGATACTCTCACCTTCTGTGTATTCCACAGGTGTCCAGGGATGAACGAAGTGATGTCGAGTCCAGCTCAGATGAGGAGGACTCAGAACCTCCAGGGAAGAACCCCCACACTGCAACAACCACCAATGGGACCAGTGGGACCAACGGGTACCTCCTGACTGGCCCTTGCACCATGGATGATTAATTACTCAAAACTACACAAGTCTTGAACAAAGTGAACTATTTGTTCCTGGAAGTAATTAATAAGTTGCAGATGCAGTTCCTTTCATAATATCTCAACACCAGAAATAAAATTTAGGATTATCAAAGCATTTTGATAGTGCACTGCCATATGTCCTGTCTGTGAAACCATTCTTTTTATGTAGGCATGCTGTCTGTGATTGACACAAGGGAACAGTATTTGCATTTGTACTGTCTTAGAATATTATTTTTATTTTGTAAATCTGTAGACTAAAGGGGATTTCCTCAATCCTTTTACTCTCTGGGTTTTTGACAGTAGGAGAAAGGCTCATCTGCATCAACCCCTTTCTACTACTGTAGTCCAGTCTACTATGATCAGCAGAATAATATGTCACTCAGAGCAAGTAAAACCCAGAGAAGCTTCTCATACAGCTCCAAATAGGTTTGCTTTCTTTGGTACAGGGCCCAGTTTCTGAAATAGCCTAAACAGTCTCATTGTCCATTCTCCCAGTGTAAAGTTTAAATAGGAAAACTGAGTGTTTCAAGTGATCACTCCATGGGGTCAATTAGCAATTCAAATTAAAGAGCATGGTGATTGAGGACTTCAAAAAATTTTTTTGTATGAAATTGCTTCAGAATAGATTTCATTTCTTATGCACGGAGCCAAGATTTCTTCAGTGAATATGGTAACTAGTTGGAGATTAAGTTTACTTTGTAGGCCACTGTGTGGGAATCAACCCACAGCAACAACAGTGCTCTGAAGAAAGATGTTTGTTTATGCTCAGAATTACAATGAAAGAATTTGCTCACATGTTGGGAATTTGTCTCCCTGGGAGCTGGGTATCACATAAAGAGACCTATTGATTTCAACCAGATTATGCCACTACCCCTGGAATTACCACAATCTCTTGTCATGTCATGAAGAGAAGGAGTTAAGTGTATTTCAGGGCAGAAAACAGGGACTTTCAAAAGTTGGCAAAGATCACCGCCTGTGTACAGCACTTTGTTGTGTCCAGCTTTCAAGAATGCGCCCTATCTAGTATTTGGTCTTGATGTTCTATTTTGCTGCAACATAAAGGCAGCAGACGAAAGACTATTTCGTCTTTTGGGCTTTTCTCCTTCAGGAGCCCTGGTGGCACAATGGTTAAGTGCTTGGCTGCTAACCAAAAAGTCAGCAGTTTGAGGTTTTAACCCAGCAGCCACTCCATGGGAGAAAGCTATGGCAGTCTGCTTCCATAAAGATGGCAGCCTTGGAAAGTCTGTGGGCAGCTCTGTTCTGTCCTATAGGGTCAACTCAACAGCAACAGGATTGGTTGTTGGTTTCTTTTCTCCTTAGGCAAAACTCAGAATGGCTTTCCTGTTACTCCACGTAGAGCAGTAGCACACTCCAAGACCAGGACTATTTTTTTCAAATGGGACTATTTTCAGAAAAGCATTATAAAATTGACAGGACAGTGGCAATATTAGCAATAAGAAAGATGACTGAAGAACAAATTTCCATAAGTCTCTTACTTGTCAGTGTTATTTGTGTATCGCTAAGAAAACCCTAAACATAAACCAAAGATTTTATCTCTTTTTTTACTGCTTTTACTGAGAGGAAATAAAAAGGTGTTAAAAATACCTAGTTTATAAATCAAAAAGACCATCATCTAAAAAAGGAATCCAGAACAAAATTGCAGTACTATCAATGTATGAATCAGTACACTAGCGACAACAGCAAAACACTAGAGCGCATGGAAACTATTTTAATGAAATAAAGTTTTGAGCCTACGATTTGTAACCTGGAAGTTAATAGTTAAAAGAACACTTCCAACAAAACTCACTGTAATATTAAGTATTCCCCCACCAATTTTCAAAATAGTATGTTTCTGGCATGGTCTGTAATAATAATTGGTTAAAAAAAAAAACAAGGGAAATATGATTGCTTGTTTATTAAGAGAAAAATGCTATTAATTCTGCTTGCAAATTATTTTATTTCACAAAATAGGGATAAATAGGAGTGCCATTTGTGGATGCTTTTGTGTTTGTAATACCAATCATAAAACATTAAAAGTATTTGTCAGTTGTCAGAACATCTACTGAAATGCAGGAATGTATGAAATAGCAACACCAAGCATGTTCTAGCTGACAAGTGGTGAGGTGAAGTTTCTCTTCGTACTTACCCAAATATGGGACACACAAGTGTCTGCGGCAGGTGCTGCCTATGGGTGAAATGAACCAGAGAACAACAGTGTATTCAAGTTTGGATCAGAAGGCATTAATTTCAGGAAGATCAGATCATAAATTAAAGATTTAGAGAGTTGTATAAAACAAAGTAAATTGACCTGCCCTTATTGAAGGCAAATCAAAGCGGTGTTTTGTGTGGTATTATTTTGCTTTTCCCAGAAATCACTTCGGAAGAAAGCTGGGAAGACTCAAAACCTTACGGACCAGTGGCCCTAACGCAGCCCTCTATGTAGCTATAGTCTGATTTCATGATACATTTAAGGACAAAGAGTTCATTTTGGCTTATCAAAATGGAGTTTGTAGGTCTTTTGAGGTGGAGAATAGCATCTCTCTGTCTACTGCTTTCAGCTTCCCGTGGTGGCCTGATGAGACTGAGAGAGAAAAATATGTGAATTATTTTGTAATCCACCTGTGCCAGGCCACAGCTTTGGAAGTATAATTTGTAAATTCAGCAATAGTTTAGTGAGAGTGTTGTTGCCTGTTATTTAACTTAGCCTATTGTTTATATCTCCTTCCTCCTGGTCACATTCAAACCATCCCAAAGTACAAAGGGGAAGGTAGGAAGGAGTCTAGAGAAAGTAATTATGTCATTCGCCAATGTTATAGCTTTTCTAGAGCTCGTAGTGAGAGGAAAATAGAAGATCAAGTAGAATTTGGCCTTGAGTCAATAAATGATATAAAAGCGTATAATCTATGTATTTACTTGTATGTTTATCCAAAAACATGATAAAACCAAAATATTACTAACCCGTGCATATTCTTTTTTTATAAGAACAGTCGGCCACATAAAATAGAACCTTCCCACTTCTTTGTCAGTCTTCTGTCCATGCTGCTGACACAGCACAGAATAGTAAAATCTTTTCAGTCACTTAGCCTGAATATGGCAGAGCGCTGTTGGGTAAGGGATGGTCAGTTAACCACAAGGGCAGAGATTCAAAACCACCAGCTGCTCTGCTGGAGAAAAATTAGGCTGTCTGCTCCTGTCAAGATTTACAGTCTCCGAACCCTTGAATAGGGTTGCTGTGAGTCAGCATTAACTTGATGGCAGTGAGTTTGGTTTTTGTGAAGGTCAGCATATAAACCAAATACAATTTACAATTCTAAATTTATTCATATGATTGTTGAGAACAGGGGAGCAACTATCAGTATTTTGAATTACTAAAGTGTATGTTGTAGAAATGCATGTGATGGCTGTTTCATGCCAGGATTTTATTAACATCTAACTTGTACTGGACTGCAAGACAAATGGTATCCTGAGGAACCATCAGACAATGATGAACTCGTCAGGACAGGTAGATTCCCAAAGAATACAGGCAATTGGGTGAGAGAAATAACTCTTCAGTGTGGTAAGATCAGATCACCATTAGCCAAAATGGTGGGTGATGCTCAAAAAAATGTCCAATTCTGTTGTCTGAGTACCAAATACTCAGAAATTTCCATTCTGAGTATTTGGTAAGAATTTGAAATTGAGCAAATGAAATGCTTTCCTCATACTTTGGACATATTGTCAGGAGGGAACAGTCACTGGAGAAAGATGTCATGCTGGGTAAGATGGAGGGTCAGAGAAAAAGAGGAAGACCCCCAATGAGATGGATCAGCCAGGTGGCATCATTGATGGCGTCAAGTGTGGCAGCGGTGGTGGGGTTGGCCCAAGATTGGACATTGTTTCGTTCTGCTGTGCATGGGGTCGCTATGAGTCGGTTCTGACTCGATGGCACCTGACAACAACAACAACAGGTAGAAAGGGTCTAAATCTTCCACTTGTATATTTCAACCCTATTGTTTTGGGACAAAGTGCAAGAAAACAATAAAAACAAAAACAAAAACAACAAACACTACATTTCATTTCAGCTAACCTGAGACTTTGCATAAAAGTGATTTATGCTTTTATGAAGAGATTGTACCCAATCTCTTCATGATTTTGCATTGGTAGTTACTTTTGTCCCTTTCTTGGAAATGTTAATGCCAAAGCTGTCTGAATAGTTGAGTGTTTTTCTGGTTGGAAAAGCATAAGAAGTATACAGAATCAGTTTCTTAATTTGAAGCATAAAAAAGTTCACAGAATGATTCCAAAGGTGTTTAAAGGTTCTATTTAATAGTATGTATTATGATGTCATTGTGTCCTTTAAGAAATCCTTTGGAAATAAAAGATTAGATGTTTACAATTCATGTGGTGTTTGAGATCTTACGATTCTAATTATTTTATTTTTTGTGTGTCTTGTCTTGGCTGATACCTGCTTTGTAGATGAATGTTAATAGCCCTGAAATGTTCCTAACGCCCAAATAAGAAAAAATCAGATCAAAGTCTGCTGGATGGGCAAGTGAAAATGAAAGGCACTTTGCATTGCTAGGTAATTTGTTTGGAAAAAGAATATGCAATTAGCTTTCTAGTTATTGCACTTGCCACCTAGCATGTTGTCCACGGAAGGAACACTCAATAAGTATTAACAGTTCTTGAAATCACGTAAAATGCAGTAAGGTTTGCTTGTTGTTGTTGTTTTTAATGTCTCAAGTCAGTTTCAGTTTTTCTTGGTAAAATGAAATTGTGCCATTCTCAAATTACCAGATAGTGTTTTACTGTGGCCAGTAGTTCTTCATAGTAAGAGACAAGAAAAGGACTTTGAAAATTGCCTTTATCTATTTGCGTAGTCCTTTGTGTGAACAGCCCCCCTCCTCTCCTCTAGGGGGCACTCGGGGGCCAGGGGCTGTCTTCTCTATATTCTCAGAACTTCTCTAATATACACTCTGAGGTATCATGTTGGTTTTCATGAAGAAAATTGTATTCAAGCATATAAACATCATTGGAAACTGTTAATAAGATCTGCAGACACCCAAAAGAGAAATTTTAGTCTTTTCCAGGTATTTCTAATTTGAGTTCAATTCAAAATCTTTGGAAAGAAAGCATAACCAGGTGGCCACAAGCAAAGGCACCTCCCACTCCCAGATGAAAGAAAGGAAAGCAGTCAGTTGATATATGGTGACTTCACAAAACCAGGGATTCTCACGATTCTCAGGAAGTGACAAGAGTGGGATGCCCGCCTAATATCTGTCTTATTTATCTCTGTTCACTCACATTCCTTCCAGCCTCCTACAACTCTTGATAAAAAGACGCCAGGATATTGTCACTTTTCTGCTATTGATTTCCCATTAGCCTTTGGATCAGTTGTATACTCACACTCCCTTCTCTGTCTAATTCCATTTAATTTTTTTAAAAAAGTATTGTGACCATATGTGTGTGTTTTCCTTACAACACAGATCCATGAAAGCTTGGCTTTCTGTTTTAGTATATGTTGTATGGGCCAGAAACCAGGGGAGAAAAGCTATTGTCATTTCTATGTTCCTTGGAAAATTATACATCATTGAAATATCTTA